TGGGTGGATGGGAGCCAGCGTGGCTCTGAACTGGGTGGATGGGAGCCTACCTTGTACAGAAAGCTGTGCAGTCTGGGGTGTGTAACCTGCTTGCACACTGCAGATGATGGGTCCAGCTTGTGAGCGGCTGACGTTGTGGATGGTGAACTCCACACAGCTGCTGGAGCAGAATCTGGCAGAAAACATCTGTGATGATGAGATGATCTCAGCGGGAGTAGCCGTGAGGACGAAGGACCCTCCGACCGTCCAGGTCATGACCTGCCAGGTTCCCTGCAGGGTGGCATTGAATCGGGCGTCAGAGCCTCGCAGCACAGTTGAGTTCTGTGGTTCCACCTGCAGATCTTCTATCGCTGCTGCACCGAAAACAAACATTTTTTACCAACATCTTTCAACTGATGCACCACAGCAAACGAGTCAAAAGCACATTTTTAATCAGTGTTGCTGCCGATGTTTTCTTCAGATGATAAATCAGAGCCCCGCCAGTGCCAAATAGCAGAGCCCCCGTTATCATAAATCCAAATATATAAATGTTTTCAGCGTCCTCATCGTCTGATCTCTGATGATGTGACACACAGTGTGAGGCTCAGCCGGGCACGAGGGTTCTCCAGGACTCTGTTGTTTTGTTGAAAAGATTTTGATGATTCTGTTGAAGTCCAGCTTGAACAGTGTTTTATGTTCTGGAGATGTGTACCAGGAGCTCCGAGACGCAGAGCAGAAGCAGCAGGAGGAGAACAGGGGGAGGGAGAGGAGAAGGATCTGTCATGAGTGAGAGCCCGAGGAGAATCTGAATGTTAGCAAAATACCTCATGAGCCACTGGTTGAGTTTCACTGAAACTTTCAGAAAATAATTGTTGCACGCAGGTCTACACCGTTTGTAGTCAATTCAACTGAAGGCCTCCTCAGCTATCGACATTAGCTAATACTAAAATGGTTGTCAGTCAAATGTACAGATATTAAGCTGAAATGCATGTAGTAGTAGTTAGTCCTTCACAGCACAAAGTGTGAAATATTTCAGTGATATCACATGAAATTTCATATAATTCTAATATTCTCCGTACATCGCCATAATCTTTCAACATAAATAGATTTTAGTCTAAAACTCTGGTATGGAAGATGGCAGGTGATATGCATCCAGATGTGATGTTAATCTTTTTTTCTGTGAGCGTCTCACTTACTTCTACACAAAATCCTCATTATCTTTAAAAATGACTGAGTTGTGGTTATTTATGTACAAAGTACTGTATTTGCTTGGTCTGGTGGCCATTTGGAATCAGGTTGATTCCAGAAATGAATTTGTTGTAGATGTGCATCTATTGATTACTTTCTGAAAGTCTATTAACATTTATTCAGTGGTTCATCCAATATTTTGCTAACAGCCAACACCCATACAGACAATAGCTATGTTTACATGGACATAAATATCAGATTAAATGGCCATTCAGAATAAAAATGTGTCATGTAAATGTCTCATTCAAAATGTTCTTTGTTGTTTCAGCTCGATCCGACAGAATTTGTAATCTGAATGAGACGAGTAGTTTGTGCTGATTCATAATCCAACAGTGTACATGTAAACACTTGATTTCATTAAAAGCTGTCGTGGGTCCATTTTGGGTGCTCATGTTTGTTTACGTTCATCCCGGAAGTAAAACAGAAGTAAAACTTCCCACTCTGCACATGTCAGGACTTCTATTCAGAATAAAAACTCGCTGCAGGTAAACGCTCGTCATGGACGGATTGTGCCCATGTAAACGATACATTCAAATGATTTAATCTGAAAACATTTCAATCCGGTCAAAGAATTTTGTGCATGTAAACATATCTATTAACAACATGGCCAGCCTTCATGATGGTGAGAAGTGTTCACTTACCTGTGCACAACAGTGACCAGATGCTGAAAAGACTAAGCCATGATATCCAGGCAACAACCATGCTAATGCTGGTAATCTGTCAAATGAATGTGAAACATGGAAGAACTCTTCAACCGGGCAAGTGTTGACAAACTTGTACCAAAGACAGAAAGAAATAATAAAAATGTTCTAAAACTAAACAAATAAGACAAAAAACCCTCATCTGAATACCCCTAACTGTGTAAATGCTGAGTCAGCATTCACATTGTTGTTTTCCTCTTTACAGACCGTTTATTTTGTTCTGGATGGTTCAGCATACGTTCAGCTGTTTCAGCCATTCAAACATCGAAATGTTTAGCTCATTCAAGACATACAGCAAAGGCCTAAAGAGGTTTGCTCTTTTATACTTTTTGAATTATTTAACTTTATTCACAAATTCAGTTTCTCATAGAAATGCACTGAGATATCTTCATCTTCATTCATATCTTCATATCCTTAAAATCTATCTCAGCATACTCGCTTTGTTTTAGGTTTCAGATAGTGTTTTGCAGCTTATGACTTTTAGCTACTGATTTTTTAATGAATTTGGCTTTTAGCTACTGTTCTGATGGTTTTTGCTTTTAGCTAATGTTATGTTAGTTTTAGCCTAAATCCACTGTGTTTATTATCCATGCATCCATCCATCCATCCATCCATCCATCCATCTTTTACCCGCTTCTTCCATTTTTGGTCCCGGGGTCACAGATGCACATATCCAGCTGTCACTGTGCAAGAGGCAGGGGACACCCTGGACAGGTCACAATCCATCGCAGGGACACGGAGACAAATGAGACAAACAACCATTCACTCTCTCACTCACACCTAGGGACAATTTAGAGTTACCAATCAGCCTAACATGCATGTTTTTGGTCTGTGGGAGGAAACTGGAGCACCCGGAGAAAACCCATGCATGCACGGAGAGAACATGCAAACTCCACCCAGAAACGTCCCAGGCCGGGATATGAACGGATGAACTTCTCGCTAAGAGGCAACAGCTCTACCAACTGCGTCACCGTGCCGTCCTTGTAATATATGTTGGCTTACTGCTTACTACATGACGACGGACGCTTGACGGACTCTTCATGAACTGTTTATTAACCATCGTCATCAGAACGCGTTAGCATTAACAACCACACCGCTCCCAGCTTCATCACGCAACATATCACTCCGTTACTACAGATCACAACCCATTCATGTACTGGTGCGCAGAACTACATACTACATACCCCATTCTTCCACATAAAATAACTTTAGCCGTGACACCTTCTAAAGCATGTGTAACTCCAATTATGGCTTAAATCAGACACTTGTAATCTGAACAGGTGTAGAAAACAATAAGCATGTCTAACCTAGTTTTAGTTCAGCAAAACTTATGCTCATAATATTGCATCCCTGACTTTTATACTTTAGGTTGGGGTGTAGCTGTTGCCAAAATAAAAATAAAACAATGCTCAAATAAAGCTTTGCTATGCACCACCACCACCACCCCACCCCTTTAACAATAACAGAATTAACAACACAAACGTATCTGTGTGGTGGTCTTATGACTCAGCCACTTCTGGTCTGAACTGTCTCTGAAGAAGAGAAGTGCTCTCCACCCACACACTCCACTGCACCTGTGTCTGAGGTGGTGATCGGGACATCCTCCAAATGATCCGGTCTTTACTATGTCATAGGATCGCAGCTCAGCCCTTGTTGTGCTGACCACTGCCGGACGCATGTGGACTGATCCGCCAGACTGTAGCTCTGGCAACCTCTTTGTTCTTCTGTCATAATACTTGCATTGTTGTTGTTGAAGGTATTGCAGAGTATTATGTGCATCTGCAGGTATTGCTGGCTTTAAAATGGCACCAGAACTCGGTAGAGTGCTCCTGAGGACCTTGCCCATCAGCATATGTGCAGGTGAATAGTTCATACCTGTTATCGGTGTGTTTCTCAAGGTCATTAATGCAAGAAAGAGGTCAGCATTGGTCTGTTTGGCTTTCTTTAGTAGGTGCTTCACAATCTTTACAGTCCTCTCAGCTCGGCCATAAGACTGAACATATCCAGGACTGGAGTGTGAGCTTCATGCCCCAAGCTGCGGCAAACTTTTTCATCTCCTGACTAGCAAAAGGCATATGGTCACACACTATTTCTTTGGGTATTCCATGTCTTGAGAATTCAGACTTCATCTTGCAAATAACTGTCTGTGCTGTTTTGTCAATGATGTTGAGTATATCTGGGTATTTGGAGAAGTAGTCCACTATCAGCAGGAATGACTGACCACTTATTTCGAACAAGTCAGCTCCCACTTTAAGTCAAGGCAGCTCTGGGATTTCATGAGAAATCATTGACTCCCTCTGGATACTAGGTTGGAACTGCTGGCATGTTTCACAAGACTCAACCATCTTCGCAATGTCTCTTGTCATACCAGACCAATACCAGTGTGTCCTGGCCAGCGCTTTGGTGCATTGCATGCATTGATGAGCTACATGTAATTTTTGTAACATGTTTGTTTTCAAGGAACTTTGCACAATAATCCTGTCTCCAGCAAACATTATGCCATCTCTCATTGACATGGTGTGCTTGTTGGGCCAGAACTGCAATGCCCTTCTGTCTACTTGTTTTCTGTGATGTGACCAGCCTTGTTTGTGAATGTCATGTAATACTTGTAATGTCTCACCCTTTTGTGTCTCTGACACTATCTGTTCAAAAGCTTCTTTGCTTAAAGCCTCAGTTGGTTCAAGAGCATAAGTGACTTTTTCATCTGAAATGTCACTATCTATTTGTTTTTCTGGTGTTGCAGCTCACGAGAGACTGTCTGCAATCAGTACATCTTTACCGAGCGTGTTGACGACATTTAGGGCATAGTGTTGTAGCTGGAGAATTATTCTCTGGAGTCTTGATGGAGCTGTTCCCAACAGCTTTCTGCGGATGGTCTATAAAGGTTTGTGATCAGACTGCACGTTGACTTTTATTCCATACATGGATGAAACATTTTGAGTGAGAACATAATGGGCAGAAGCTCCTTCTTTATCTGTGCATAGTTTTTCTCTGTGCCAGAGACCTGGATTCATAAGTGATTGGATGTCCATCCTATATGAAGCATGCACCGTGTTCATCTTGGCAGTTATGGAGAGACTTAAAGAGCCACTAGAAGAGTCAGGACTTGGTCGATCTCCTATCCATCCCTACACAACCTCTCCCTTCTCCACTGACAATGATCGGATGTGCGGGTCAAAAGTTTGCTTCAGTTCAAAAGAAGAGTCTACCTGGGCATCTCATTATCTCCGGGAACCATCATGAACATGGTGAGTTTTTTGTATTTGATTCACCCATCACACAGCTTATTTTGGGTTTCCCTTGGCCCAGGGAACACAGCCCTGAAATTAATTGGAGGGGGGAAAGAGTGGAACAATGGAGCCCACACTGCTTAAAGAATTGTTTGAGAATTGTTATACCTTCCACTATAAAATGTACTAAGGTCACCGATCCTGTTGACTTGTCTAAGATCCCTGCTGCTTATCACAACCTAGCTCCTGTGTTTAGCAAATAAAGGGTCCTATCTTTACCTTTGCACAATCCTTATGACTGTGCTATTGATTTCATACCAGGTAAATGGTAAATGGTAAATGGACTGTACTTATATAATGCCTTGCTATCTTATGAAGACATTCAAAACGCTTTACACTACAATCTGTGTCCTCATTTACCCATTCATACATCACTCTACTAGATCTCTACAAAGCTAATGGAACAAATCATTCTAAAGAGACTAATCAGTGCTTTATCACATTCATACACCAATGGGACACACATCAGAGGAAATGAGGGGTTCAGTGTCTTGCCCAGAGACACTTTGGCATGTGACTGCTGGTGGATTCAAACCCCCAACTCTTGCATTGGAGGACGAATGCTCTAACCCAGTTGACCTCCCCCTGTGGACTTTTAAGTGGACTCAGGAGGCAGAAGCAGCTTTTGGTGAGCTGAAGAGACATTTGTCCTCTACTCCTATCCTTTGCCACCCTGACCCTGAGACAGTTCATTCTAGAGGTTGATGCTTCAGACACTGGTGTAGGAGCCATTTTGTCTCAGAGGTCCCCCAGTGCCAACAAAGTGCACCCCTGTGCATTCTTCTCTCGGTGTCTTTCCTCAGCCGAGCAAAATTATGAAGTTGGTAACCGTGAGTTTCTTGCCGTCAAACTAGCCCTGGAAGAATGGCAACACTGACTTGAGGGTACAGACATACCATTTCTCATTTGGACAGATCACAAGAACCTCACCTACCTCCGTGAGGTCAAGAGATTGAACCACAGGCAGGCAAGGTAGTTCCTGTTCTTTACAAGATTTAACTTTGTGCTAACATTCAGTCCCGGCTCCAAAAATGTGAAGCCTGACGCCCTGTCCCGCCAGTTCTCATCACCAGAGGATACCGAAAAGCGAACATCTTACCATCATCCTGTGTGGTCGGTTCTTTAACCTGGTCCATTGAAAAAGACAACCTCGATGCTCAGAAGTCCGAACCAGACCTGGGAACGAGTCCTACTGGCATCATGTTTGTACCCACTAGTATCAAGGTTAAGGTACTCAACTGGCTCCACACTCATAAGACTTCTTGCCACCCAGGTGTTGCACATAAACTTTGTTAGCTCTAACTAAGAGACACTTCTGGTGGCCATCCATGACAGAAGATGTAAAGGTTCAAATCCCGATCTGGGGGCCTTTCTGGGTGGAGTTTGCATGTTCTCTCCGTGCATGCGTGGGTTTTCTCCTGGTGCTCCGGTTTCCTCCCACAGACCAAAAACATGCATGTTAGGCTGATTGGTAACTCTAGATTGTCCCTAGGTGAGAGAGAGAGAGTGAATGGTTGTTTGTCTCGTTTGTCTCTATGTGTCCCTGTGATGGACTGGAGACCTGTCCAGGGTGTCCCCCGCCCCTCGCACAGTGATTGCTGGACATGGACACCGGCGACCCTTGTGACCCAAAATGGAATAAGCGGGTAAAGATAATGGATGGATGGATGTTTGCTTTTTAATTTCTTCATGGTTATGGTTAAGTACATAC